AAAAAAAATCTTTCAGAGTCACTTTTATTCAAAAACAAAACAAAGAATCTGTTTTTCCTGATGGAAATGACACTATCACATACTACCTTTAAGGTTTCTTTTCTTCTGCGTGTGGAAACTCTGCATATGAAATACACAGGAAACAGTTTAAAAATAGTAAGGTGAAAAAAGTTTTTAATTTTAGGAGCATTATATATATTTTCAACTTTGGGAAAGCACTGAACAGTAGTATTAATGCTTCTGGGTGCTAAGGTCTAGTAACACGGATTAACAGCTTCGTTTTCTTAGAACTGCCTGCTCACGTGATGCATTCTGGATCTTTCAAACAACCTCAGCCTTCACTAACATACAAGTGAAGCTCAGGCCAACTTAAAAATATAAAGTCTCAACTTCCAAACAGGAATATGGAAGTTGAGTCAAGGCTACAAGACATCCCATGACCAGGAGAAAGCCCACTGTGTATGTTTGTTCGTGTCTACACGGACTCCGTCCACCTCTCCATCCTTCAAACCTTCACTGATGCTTTCCTTTAGGGAAAAAAACAGAAAAGGCCAACTGCTTTGGGGACACAATGATGAAAAAGATGGGCTCCCTGCCTTCAAGGAGGGCAGGGCAGAGTAGTGTAAGTTCTATCTTTTCTCAAACCGTGATTTAAAACTGCGCACGGCAGACACCGCTCTGCCCTTAGAAGGCATTTCAAGCCAAGGAAATCAGCCTGTATGGAGCGAGCACTTGGCAGGAAGAGTAATGAGCCTGGAAGCCTGGAAATCCAACCCACCCAATGAGAAGCTAACAGCCTCTGCCTGGGTTCCCTCAGCTTAGGTTTGATCCACACAAGTGCGAATTCCATGTTGAAGACGTGACAGTCATTAGATGCTTCACACCCAAGCCCTATTGAATACATTCTTGAGTAATTATGTGCACACTCAAGTCACATGGGTCTAATTACGCATCGCTGAGATCCGGCGAGGCCAGACCACCCGACCCTCAACGTGACAGACAGTTCTGGACACATCTCAGGCGCTGGTTCTTACCTTTCCCTTTTGGGAGTGTGGACTGAGAGCTGTCCATTGGTAGAGGCATGTGGGTTCATGATTAAGGAGGTCTTGGAAGGGGCAGAGGAAGAGACACATGTCGTGGTCAGATCCAAGCTGCTGTGATTGTTGCCCGTGGCTTCCTCGGGAGTATGAGCACTTGTCACTTCTTTCCAGAGCTGCTGCAGTTCTGCTGGAATCATGCCTGAAACAAACAAATTGGATAATTAAATCAATTAACAGCTAATTCCGTCCTCTTCAAACAGTAATTAAATCAAAGAGTCAGTAAACAAAGCCTAGTGTAAGGGGGGGTTTTTTGGTGCATGCAGCTTTTTTTCCCCTCCCCTCTCAACTAAGGCAAATACAGTAGTAACAGACGTGTCCTCCCCCTGAAGTGCCCTCATCACACATAAAAGATACTTGTGAAGGGGACTCAAAACACAGCTACTTTGCAAAGACAGTCTGCCTCCATGCAACCTGCTGTTTCCAGATCTTTGGGGGAAAAAAGTAGATAGATGTTATTGTATTTTTAGACACAAAGACGGGCTCAAAATAAATTTGTTCGACTGTACTATTATGACAACACGAACCACAAAATGAGTAATTTTTGTGCTTAAGTCTTAAATGATGACAAATAGCTTTGTTATTAAATACAGTTTTTATTAATCACTTTTCGACATAAATTATGAATTCATATTGTCTTCCTGAAATGCTTTTCAACTTTTAACAGTCAAATTGATTATACTATGATTATTTCATTAACACACCTATCTTCCTCATTAATTTCGGTTTCTAGTACCACATGCTTAATTGATGGATGTGTCTACTGAAAAACTGTGTAACTTTTTCTACAAGTAACACTATTATTACTGTCATTTCTTAGATCCATGCTAATGAACCATTGCAGAATGAAACGAAAATGTGCAAGAAACTTGGAGCAATAAGGTTCTCTTGTTTTAAAAGGGGGCCAAAATGGACATGCGTCTCAAGGACGAAGCATCAACCTGTTTTTTTTCCCCCCAAGAAGAGATAAAATCAGTATGTCAATCTCACTGTTGCGGGCCTGCAGCCTTTATTCTGAACGGCATGGCATGCCTCTACAGCCCAGGATTTCCAAATCCTACCTCGAGGCATATTCTAGTGCGTACATGCACAGAAGAAAAATATTTTGAATGGCAACTGACAACAGCCACCACCTAGTAGGACAACCTGGAAGAGATCAGAAATCCTGGCCATCATCATAAGGCGGTGCTGCACACGCACTGGACGTCTGGATCTCGGTCCATTGTTTCGATCAGCTGGGACGGAGCTATCCGAGAAAGCCTGCCATTTTCTGCCTGTGTAGCAGTAACCGAAACGGGCATGTTTCTTACCAAACCGAAGGTATTGAATTTAAAAAGGAGGCGGTGTGCATTATATTCATTTGAAACACATAATAAAAAAAAATGCCAAGGTCTAAATTTAATTTATTTTTGTCATTTAGAATACAATGGCTAGATAATCATCTCAACGTGATCAGCCAAACATCTTTACTTTGCTAAACTGTTAAAGATTTTAATTATGCTAGCATTGGAGAGCACTGGTCTAATGAGGCGATGGACTCCAGAGAATCCGAGTGGTTAAGAACTGTGAAATGAGTCTGATAGGATTTTTTTTATATTCACCGTGGATCGTTTGCATATCAAAGAGGAGTAAATTATTGCAGAGCAGACCAATAACCTTCCCCGCCTTTCTGAGAGGAGCGTTAACAAAAACAGTTGGTCTCTCCTAACGGTTCTCCACGAAAATGTTCAAATGCTCAAGTGTTTGCAATTAATATATATTATAAAGGAGGCTTCAAATGATCCATTAAGTGGTCAGATATTCTTAGAACGCATCCTCGACAGCCAAGTCGGTTTTCTCCTTCCTTCATAAAAATCAAATGCCAATTATATTTTGATGGATTTTTGTCCCAAATGAGCATTTAGTTATTAGGCATATTCAATTATTACTTGTCCCCTGAAATTAAACCTTGGAGGCAAATTAAACAAAAGGAAAGGTCACTATACAATCCGGTGTCCGACTCTGCTGCACCTGGGCTATTATTTTCAAACACCTTGCGAAGTGACATGTGGGATGTGTTTGGAGCTCACAGGCCACCCCTGATGTCTGCACACCAGCAATTACCTGCAAAGACAGACGACCCTCGGACCACTGTTTACTCAACTGAAACAACAGTGACTAGGCTTGTCTGTTGATGATAGCGTATTGATATAAGGCCACACAAGTCAACACCTAGTTTTGTTTTCTGGGGACGAAATGCACATGAAAAGAACAAACCTCCTATTTTTCAACTCAAACTAACTGATTTCTGGGTCAGTTGTACAGGAGGCAGGAAGAAGGAAGAACACACCACGGTGTCTAACAACTGTGTTAACACTTTCCCTCCGAGGAAAGCAGAACTTTGAAGCTGTTTCAAAAGTAGGTTGTTTATCCAGCACATAAAGACAGAGAGGAATGTCCTGTTACACTTGTTATGCCGACAGAGCACATCAGCGTGACTCTCCTCCCCTGAGAGTCCAATGGGCTAGCAAGTCAATTTCACCATCCACAGGGAGAAATGGTAAATAAAATAGTAACTCACTGACTGACAACAAGGCATCCTTCAGGGTCAAACTTCAATGTGATAATTATGTTTAAGAACATTCTCATCAGACTTACAGAAAGGCAGTCAAATCGGTCTCTTCTGTCAAGGTTACACCTTGTTAGTGATGTTAAACTATTAGTTGAATAAATACTATCTACCCAAGGATGCAGTTATTTGACAACCAACATCTTATGACAGAATTAAGACAGAGAAAAGGTAAGCTAGTCACTCATCAGACTAAGTGGATATCAAATTTCCAGAAAGCAAGCATTTCATCCGAAATGGTGGATCAGAATAGTAAAGCAGATTCAACCAATCCATTAACAGGCACACCAACAGGAATGTAGTTTTCTCCTATCTCTAGTTTACCTTGTAAAAATTAAAAAGCCAGAATGATATTAAAAGTGTATTTCTATATGGAATTACAGGTGCTGAGGAGGATGAGACGATTAGAGAGACCAGGAAAAAACAGACATGCTAATTATGTAACAGAGAGAGAAGGCCCTGCAATAGCTCTAAAAACATCAGAAAAGTCCCTCCGTTTCATAACCTAATACCTTCAGGGAACACCAAAAAAAAGAGCCTTCAAAACACTACTCTCTGTCTCTTTCTTATGCTTTGATACTTACGTGCATGTTTAAGGCAACTTAGTCAAGACCATAAGCAGCTATATAAAAGAGTCATGATGACTGTCTCCTGAAGTGGGCATTACCAGCATTTTTAACATGTAAACCCTGGGCCTTGCTATGTTTCTTTTTCCAGGACAACTGGCCCCTTCATTATAAAAGAAAATGCAGACACAGGTTTAAAAAATGTATGTTGCAGGGACAGTTGACAGATTACTGTTCATGGAACTCAATTTTACAACCCCAGGTATCACTGGCTCAAAGACAAACAGAGTTGATCAACCTTTTTTTGTCCTTGTACACCCATACCCAGGTGACCATGTTCAAGCAAACAGAAAGTTGATTTAAACCTCATAATGACATCAGTTTTAAGCTATCATCTCTCTGGTAAAAAAAACTGTGCTCTGGTCCAACATGACTGAATTCTCTAGCCTCTTTGGGTGGGAGGTGGGGGAGGCAAAAGCAACCTCCCGATTACAAGAAAGACAGCAGCGACACCGGTGGTTCACTTCACCGGAAGAAGGTGACTCCAGAAATGTTTACATTTGCGTTTCTGCACCTTGGGCACACGTAAGGAACCCCCTTAGACCGTAAATATGCGTCTTCTTAATGTCGCGGGGGCGAATAGTCAGAGCAGACTGCTAACCATATCAATCAATGCCATGACTAGTGAATTACCTACCGGTGTCTCTGATATGTTACTGCAGAGATTACACTTCATGCATCACCACATTCATTTCTTTCACATTACACATGAGCTTGTCTTGTCACTGCCCAATTGCCCTCTTTTGGACAGCTTAACTGATGTACTATAACAATGAACCTTAGTGAGCAAACGTAATAGTAGAGGAGCGGTGGGAAAAGATGAGCGAGGTGGAAGCCCAGTCCGGTGGGTGTGTCAGCACAGCCAGCGATGTTTCCAACAATAAACCCAAAGGTGTAATTAATGCACGGTGTAACATTTTTGCCAGCGCAAAAATGCACTAGCCCATGTGTCCTTTCTTCCCCGCTTGGCACTGCTCAGTTACCAGACCTTCTATTTTAACAGCAATGGAGCTGCTGATTGTATAGCTCAAGGATGAACGGTAATGGCAGAAGGGGCGGGGAGGGGCAAGGGGAAGCTAAAGGAGGAAAAAGCCCTGGTCTCAACATTAAAAACATAAACAAAAATCAGAAAACCCCAGAAGGGACAGAAGTTGGGTGTGGTGGACCCAAGAGAGTCAAGGTTTAATGGTGACATGCCTCGCTGGCTCCACTTGACATCAAAAGTTACTGAACACATGAGCATGCCTTAAGCACCATGAGGGGACAAGAAGGTTCCACATTCTAAACCCTCTTCGGAAGACAGCTGGATCCAAGACACCAAAGGCTTCAGTTACCAGCCTTGAAGGCATATATACACATATGTCCAAGTCCACTTGAGGAGGCAAATGAAATCTACCATACCATGTGTCGGGTGGGGGAACTGCATTTCAAAACACGGCACGACTCTTTTTTTCTCTGCTTCTTTCCTTTCCTTCTTTCTGGCTCTGAATAATCCATTTGTGTACCGTAGTACACAAGTGAAAGTTAGAGCTGCTAAAAACAGCTAGAGTACTCACTTGTTTCTGATGTCCCACACACCCACCAGAAGAACATGTCAATGGCTTTTCAAAAGAAATTTTAAAATCCATGATATCTTACTCTTTTTCAGGGAACTAGTTTTTGAAAAAGAGCCAGAGATGGATGTGCTACCTGCTCTGATGGGCATAGAACTAACTTGCTCAAAAGCCAATAGCCAGAGGAATGCAAAAAAAAAGAGAAAAGAGAAAACGTGACAAGTAACAACTTTGGCTTCTGTCACAGAAAGAGATTTACCTTAATCATTTACAGAAAAATAAACTCAACTTTCTCCCTAGATATTAAAAAGTGCCATTTCTGAAGCATTACTAAGACTTAGAACAGAACAAGTTATGTGATGCAAAAACACATCTTAAAATGACTTAACAAAAAGCCTTCAAGAAAACGCATCTGTGATACCAAACTGAAAACGCAAGACAATCACACGAGGATGTTCAGTCAGAGCAGCACCTTCTCTTATTCAACGAACAGGCAACAATTCTGACACTGCTAAGCCTTCAGACCACCCTACGCCTGCATTTTGGCATCAAGGCGCACTCCAGCTTCCGTAAAGGTCCATCATTCTTATTACCTCATCCAGCTTTCTTCTCTAAGTTGGTAGCTGCCTGTTTTAAGTGGACCATCTCCTTAACGATGAGCTGGAATGAGACATCCCACCACCTCTGCCCCCAGAGTCTCAAGACAGCGGCGCCCCCTGGATCATCAAGGCTTACCTTGAGTGAGGGGCTGGAGGGGAAGGGCAGGCTGCCCCGGCTGAATTGTTAGGAGGCCTTGGCGCTGCAAAGACAGGAGGTGTTGCTGCTGTAACTGCTGCATCTGTAAAAGCTGCTGCTGAAAAGCCAACTGCTGGGTAGCCACCTGCTGCTGCTGTAAGAAATAAGGAAGAAAAAAATGAGATGGCTACCGCCCGAGGAAGGTTAAAATGGACATTTCCAGACACACCGTCATCGTCCAGTACTGGGAACGGTCACCAGGGTCTCGTGGAGGGCTCAGCGTCCAGGCTGGCTTAAAAGGGACAGAACACCTCACCTCTGAAGACGAGCTGTGTGACCTTCCTGCTCCCTGCTCCCGCAGAAAAATCACCAGTCAAGTCAGTTTTTCCTACTCTTTGAAAGGCCTGAGTTTTGGGGATGTGAACTCCTAACCTTGGAAAGTTTGAATTGTCCACACTAGCAGGAAGGCTGGACCACTCCAGGCCTGCAAGGATTTGAACCCTGAACCTTTGAGGTGTGGAAGAACAAGGTGTCTTTGTCCCTGCCTGGATGGGGAGAGAAGCTTTTAACTACTCTGTTTATCACTTCTGACATAAATAAATGAGAAAAAATCAGACCTTTGAAGAAGAAAAACTTCATCTAATATTGTTAATTAGCCATGACAAACGATGAAATAACATTGTAAATCTTTCATAGAAACAGCCACTAGATTTTAATTACACACATTCATAATTTAGCAAACAACATCGTGCTCGACTGTGGGTGTGGAATATGAAGGACACTTGAAGCTTCAGATGCCTGAACTTGGCTTGAGTTTCAGAAACCCTGAGGTCTGCTGGCTGGTCCTGCCTCCCCGCCCGCTTTGTTCTTGCAAAGACGGGGCTTTGCGATATGATAAATATCTCTCTGCTGATTGGACAATGACAGGAGGAAAACTTTTGTTGTGTAAAACATCAATACATCATTCCTGTGTTTAGCAGGCCTTGCTCCAGCCAAAAAAATTAATGTAGATTTCCTCAGTAATTATCTGAGTGATAGAAAGATAATACAGCGCAGTATTACAATAAATAGAAGGAAATTATCTAATATCCTTAATCTACTAGGAATCAAATCGAGGTGGAGGTCTTAGCCACGTTATGGCTAACAATTATGAAAGGAAAATTAACCCTTCTTTGGGAAGAGAGGGCTGGAACCAGGGGAAAAAAGAGAAACAAACACGACCCTTTCAGAGCTTCTCATAACTACACTTTACCAACAACTGCATTCACTTAACCTAACACGTGACCTTGGTCTGATACATCCCATAAAATGGTATATATATCAAGACCTTCTGATGCAAAGTTCAAAGGAAGAGAAAAATGGTGGTTTCCTTTCGGTCTCCATGTAGTTTATTTTACAGTAAAAACCATCATTCTCATATTAGCAACCAATTTCAGACTTACTACCGTGCCACTGAGAAAGTTAATTGAGTTTCACTCCAAAAAACAAATTCTATACCACTAACAACAAAAATTTAAATAAATTTAAATGAAAAGCCCATGTTTTCATTTTAAGAACAGCATGCATAAAATGATCCAATTGTGTTCACCCCTTCCCAAGTTATCACATTAATGTAAAACCCAATGATACTTATACTCATGTCAAAATGATTTTTTCACTTCTTCAACAGACAGTAATTCAGGACATTTAAAGAAGGGGGAGGGGAAGGAAGAGGAAAAACACAACACGGATACAATAAAAGATCAGGGAATTAGCTGTTCTTGAAGTAGAAAAGCATGGAGGTGGGGTGCTGGAGTTTGGGGAGGGTGTTTCCTGTCTTACTGTAAGTGAAATGTTTAGAGATTCTGTATTTATATGAAATGACTGATGGCTGTTCTACTGTCCCCGTGGCCATCCCTAGGAAAAGCTCCTGAGAGCTGTCCACGTTTGCAAAGCCAGGATATAAAAGTATACAAGGCCCATTGTCCAAAGAAAGAATTTAAAAGCAACACTGGTTGCCAAACTGTGCTCCCCACCCAGTTACCAAACACAGGATACGAGCCCGTTTGTTTACTTCTCACAATTGAATGCATACAAAAAAGGTCTCCGTGCAGTCCCCTGGACAGGTCAGTAGTCAGTGCTAAAATGCTAAAATGCCCTGATAAACCTGGCATTTCGGATCCCCTCCCTGGAGCTGCAGTCAAAGGTCTGTTTGCCTTTCTTCGGCTCCTCCCTACTGCCTAACATAAACTGTCATAACTGCCCAGGACAAACGGCCCTTTTAAAACAATCAACTTAGCCTACCTCACAGGCACAGGGTGTGTGTGTGTGTGTGTGTGTGTGCGTGCGCGTGCGCAAGTGAGCCTGTGCCTGGACTTAAAATTAATGCTGCCTTCTGGTTTCCACACCCGTTTTGTCAAATATTAATGAGCCATCACTTAAATACTCGCTGTATAGGGTTACAGAGTATCTATCTCCCAAGGAAGTTCTTCAGTCTAACCTCAACATGGAGCTGAACTTTCTCAAGGAAACATCTCTGGGCAACTTGAGGGGGAAAAAAGAGACTGAAGTATATTGTTATGGCCAAGGATCAGGGGTCTTAGCACAGAGGTAACACCTCCCCCCAAAAAAGGAGGAGTGGTAGGGTGGGTGATTCAAAATTATGAGCCACTAATGACTAGGAGATTTGGTAAATTAATACATTTGTTCCATTTGTCAACATTCAAGTTCAAACCCTGTTAAAATCATAGCCGCCGGTCCAGATCATGAAATTACTACCATGCAAATCTATTTCACTGTTGTACAAAAGGACCACTACCTTCATGGTAATTTCAGCAGACTCCCTCCTCACCTTAGGAACATAAGGATCTCCTAATCATGGAGACGACAGGTCCTGGCCACATTCAGGGGCAGAGACCAGTGAAATCCAAGGAGACCTGCCCGCGGGTCTGGGTCTGCCCAGCCCTCAGGATGTGGAGGCAACATCTCCTGTATCCCCTCTGCCCTGAAAATGGCTAGTGAAGCATGACCACAACAAACCCAGTGTCCTGGAGGTGCTAAACGCTACTGTGATGTAACCACAACCTCTCCCTCGTTCAGACACAAAGCATTCTCTTTTTCTCCTCCACATTCCCTTCCCAAATTCTGACACCATCACCGTCTTCCGGCGCCTGAGATGCCCCCTTTCTGACAGCAGCAATTTGGGAGAGTTAACTTTTATCCTTCCTTCTGCTGTGTAACTTTCGCCTTCGCGTTTCTTGATCTGCCCTCGGCGCTCGTCTGAATTTTCACGTTTTCCCAGCATGCAGACGTGCATTCCAAACTATGTCTAACAGACCAAATAAGAGGTTAATCAGAAGTGGCAACAGAAAGGAAAAACACAATCCCTGGTAACTGATAAGAATGACAGTGCGGCCCTTTTTTGTTTGTCTTCAAATATAGAGTTAAAGATCTTTAAAAAACTAAATTTCGAGGCCTTTGAAAAGAAAGCAGCACAAAATAACAACAGGGGGTTATTGCCTGCGAGCCACAGGGGAGAAACTCCATAATTCTTATTCTCCCTTTTGAAGGCTGTTAGAAATCTGATTCAAAAAAGCAACAGCAGAAGGGGAAGTCTCTTGAGGCTGTAACCATTTCCTGTGATCATGCATAATGTGCTTCAAAAGTGGGTTTTTACCAATTCTGTTGATCAATTGCACCTCCTTCATATCCCTTCTTTTTTCTGCTGTGTTTACATCTGATGTGACTCAGTGACAAGCACTGTCTGAGACTGTGAAACAGGCCTGTCATGTTGATTTATGGGCGCATCAAACCACAACTTGTCCAAACTGAGGCTCGCAGTTCATTAATTAGAGAGTTGTGACTTTGAAGTCAGCTTTCAGACTGTGGTTTTTAACATTTGGCTTAATTTATATGCTCTTGAATGTGGATCTCTAAGGAAAAAACTGAAATTCCCTTCTTGTCTTTGAACTTCTTTTGACCGCACAATAATCATTTCTTTGTCCAGAGTGATGCCTGCAATCCCAGAGTCATTAACGCGCATTGAACTGCCACTGATGAGTAAGCCCTACTGAATTAGAAAAACAGCCAGCAAAACAAAGCTGAGAGCCTTCTGCACAGTGATATCTCACAATTACATGCCTTCCCTCCCTGTGCCATTTCCATTTTAATTACTGTTAGTCCTTTAGATTTACATTTTAGACACTTTTTAATCTGGTCCCTTTTTTTTTATAGCAGCACCGGGTAGCGCGCCACCGGACTTAAGGTTGTGTCAGCATTTTCATTAAAACACCTCCTCCCCTTCACCCTAAAACTGCCCCTACTCTGCAGGGGTTTAAATCCAGGCTGCTAAACAGGACTCCAGGGTGAAAACGTGGCAGGGCCTGGAAAAATATACCCAATTTGTGCGGAGGGAGGAGCCGGCAAAGTGAGAAGGTCTGGGTCGTCCCTAGGGTGGAGGACGAGCGCTTCCCGGCCTCCGCTCGTGCGAGGGACAGGGATGGGGACCAGCGTCACGGGCTAGGACGCCTTCTAAGAAAGCAAGTGGTTGCCTGCTTTGGGGCAGTGGGGCAGCTGTTAAGCGGGACGGTGAGCTGTTTATCAAACTATAAATTGTCATTCCAAGGAGAACACTCAAATGGAAAGAATTTCAGTCCACCGTGAAAACACGAGGAGGTAAGTTCCATCGGATAACTCTGGAATGGATAGAAAGATGTCACGATAACGCATACGTGTGCAGAGATATACCCCCATCTGCTTGAACGTCACCCACATGGAACGGCACAGAAGGTACAGAGAAACCCTCCCGGGGAAGGCCTGCCCATTTACGGAGGGAATAGAGTCACCTAACTGGGCGGGGGGACATGCAATCAGCGCGTACACCTACAAAGTACTGCGCTACACGGTTTCTTCTCAAGAAGACACACGTGATCCAAGCCTGACTTTAGCGTTTGTGATATGTGCAACCTGCAGGAAGAAGTTCAACAGAGACGGGGGTGTTCTGAATCTTGCTCTAACTTTTTTGGTAAAAGATTATTCTTCCAAAGGAACAAGCCATCACTGCACACCCAAGTTCTCTGAGTTGGAGGGGGAAGAAAAAAGAAAATCAATCATGCACTGAAGTGGAATTTTTACTGGGAGCACCTCACCTCCCCGAGGTAGATCTTGGCCCTCAGTGGTACCAGTTTGCAAAAGGAGCCCTAAAGGGTCTATCCACGATCCCTTTGCTCGGGGCTCACACGAGGTACACCTGCAGGGTGGGTTATAAAATATGTGGCAGCCAGCAAATGGAACCCAGAAAAATCTAAAAGAAAACAGGACAATAACTCTCGGTCTGAAAGCTGAGAAGCGATAGAGTCAGCTCAGTTGTGCAATCATTTAAAAAATGACTGACAGTTTAATAGCCACTAGATAGTCCTCTGGGATCTGCGGTTTGAAAGTAAAATATGTATTGTCGGTACCTCTTTAGGCTGTTTTCCAGCATGTTGTTGTTGTAAAAGTTGAAGCTGCAACTGTTCCTGTTGTTTTTTATAAAACTCTTGAAGCTGCTGCTACAAAGGAAAGAGAAGACGGTAAGTGACAGAGGGTAGCGTCAAGCCACTGTCCCTTTCAGTGCCGTACATAAACTGGGATTTGAAAAACAGCATCCTTTTATCTGCAACGGCCTGACCTTTAGCTTGAGACTCGACAATAAATTTCAGCACATGCTGACTATTCTTGGCATTATTGTTTGAAAAGTAATCTCCAAAATGAACTGATGAAAAACATACCATTTTCTACACAAACTAATTAAAATAAGGCAAGGAATGACCTTTGATTGTACAACAAAGACAGAACGCCCTGGCTGGGGGAGTCTGGTGAACCGTGTGCCTCCTTTCTAAGTGATGAGGATGGGCGGCACTTGGGGTCGGTTCAGCGTGTGGGACCACCATGCGAGTGGCTTCCTCTGCGTCCCGTCCCGGCCACCGCATCCCAGCAGCTCCCATCACTATGGCACTGAATCTCCTCTGTTTGATGCAGGTGCCCATGAGGTCAGACTAGGAGGTGCCCACGGCCCAAGGGCAGCGGGAAGGTCACTTCAGCACTGGCATCCATGAAAGGGGCAAAATCAACTCCACACCTTACAGTTAACCGACTCCGAGATGCTACTTGATGTTTAAAAGAAAAATTCCGTAAGCTGCTGAGTTGAGATGGGGACTTCAAGAGCTGTCACATTTAAACCTGCTCCCGACGTGCTCCCCATTTTGCTTTGATTCACACCATTTAGAAGCCTCTGGGCTTACCAAATAAAAGAGTGTAAAGCCCCCTAAAGCCTAAAAGATCTTATTTCTACCAAGTCCAATTACAGCCCTAATCTCAGTCCATCGGGTCCTCTCCAGGCCCAGACCCTCGTTGCTTTGGGCCGAGGATCTCTTCTTCCAGGGATGCAAATGCAACTGATTGTGCTGAGACGGATGCCCTCTGCTTACTCCTCAGTGGGCAAAGGAGCTGCTCCACTGAGGGGACTTCGGAATGAAGCGATGGGCCCTGGGGGTCATGGGATGCTGGGGAGGAGGAAGGACCATTACCTGTTGAAGCATGAGGGCCTGCTGCTGCTGGAGGAGAACCTGGAGCTGCTGAGGGCTCAGCACTTGTTGCTGGAGGATCTGCTGCATTTGCTGGGGAGTGATAACTTGAGGTGTCATCATAGCCACTGACACGGGAACCTGGAACATTAATGAAGGATAAATGGGAAGCCGGGAAACCACACGCACACGGCCCTCAGCCTTCCGGGCACAGGGGCAGACCGTCATCAGCCTGCCTCAAGGACTGACCAGTTTCCCACACATGGTGCATCTCTCCAGAGGGGGATACAGCCAACACCCCCTATTTGACTGATCATGCTGTTTATTTTAAATAAAGAAAAAATAGAAGAAAACCTTGCAGCCACGTGTTCCCAATAGTTTTGCAAGCGGACAAGGCGTAATGGATTAATAAATGCTACCTGGAGTAGGTTAGAACAATCTCAGTTTCTAATTAAGAATGAGTCTTTGGTCACAACGAGATGTAGGAAGTTAATGCAAACTTGAATTACATTTTCCAGGGAAGTAGGCAAATGGGAACCAGAATTTTTGCGGCTGGAGCGAATACCATCCACTTCCTCTGAACAGGGATTTGAAGAACAATGAAGGAATGCTCAGTCCTGTGGGCAACTGAACCTTGGATGCACCTTCTGAACTTAAAACACAGCCCCTTCCTCTGATGCCTTTTACCCTTTCTTATTCACCCAGCACACAGATGTCTCAATTCTTTCGCATTATGTGCGATACCATTAAAAGCCGCTTTCCATGACATTTCAGTGACAAACAGCTACAGTGATGAACTTGATAGCATTTCATATTTGCAACTGTTAACACGTTTCTGCACGGGCATCTCTGCAAGGAACCTGCACACTGTATCTGAAAGGATGATGTCTTGTTCAGATAAAACACTGACATTAAAATGACAGGCTGTCTTGGCCAAGGTTACACAAATTGTATTCAAGCGGATACCTAATGACAATGCTATGAATTCTGCAAGCTTTCTAGAATGTAATTTAGCTATTCAAAATAATCACTGCACTTGTGTTTAATTTGCAGACTACATGAGAACCATTTTGTCAGTCCCCGTAACAGAAGAAGACTATTTCATGAAAAATTACCCCCCCAAATAAAAAGATAAGGAAAGAAAAAAAAAAACAATGAAAGAAAAGACAAAACCTGTATGTCTTCTAACAGTAATACTTAAGCATCTTACTTTTCTTTGGTTTCTAATCAAACATGTGACAGCAAGAAGCTGGAAGCAGTAAAGGATATACTTTGTTAAAAAGGATCTGCTGTCATCTCATGTATTACAATAAAAGGTAATAACATGTTTTGCACTTTGCCTGTGTGCCACTTAAAAAAAAAATCCGGCAGACAATAGCTGATCAGAAGATAAAAGAATTAAAAAATCTTTCAGGGGAGCAGTAAGCAAAAGGGAGAAATGCAGTATTAATTTTATGTAACATAATGTCTTAATATGCAGTTTATCTTGACTTTTTCACATGATTTGTCCTGTCATTTGCATAGCGAGCTCTCATTCCTAATTTCACAGTCATTATGCACTGATGTCCCGATTTCTCAGCATCACTAATTTTGATGAACTAAAAATGGTTCCTGAAGGTCAGATTCATGTACAGTGAACATCCCCCACTGTTGTTGTGGGCATGTTCTGTGTGGGAGGATGTTTATGCGCAAGTTTCGCGTTGTTTGGAAAACACCAGCTAGAACGGTCGAAAATTTTCATTAACCCAACTCTGGAAGGTCATCAACGGAATTCTTCCCACCACAGTGGCCTTTTAAGTGTAGATGTAGATACACTGTAATTTAAAACAGATGGGCATGTCTGAGTATTTTTATATGCAAAAAGGGACAGATGTATATGAATGGATAAATTATCCTTTTAAAAAGATATCTCGCAGCACAAAATATCACCAATGAATAGAACAGTGAACTTGCGTTTAGTCTAGGACAAACACCAAGAAGACATTAGCAAAACATCTCACCATCTATAACTTAATTCCAATTAGTCTACCTTGCCTTTGAACAGAAGAAACTCTTTGAATCTGTCAATATGTAGTGGGTGCCAATCACTATCTTCTGAGCTGCTAAAGCCAACGTATCACAATAGAAGTTTACTTTTCCTTGAGAGTTGCATCACCATACAGGGAGGTTTGATTAAGCAAACAAAAGAACCATGTTTAAGGATTCTTTTTTCCTCTGCGTTTCTTGGATGATGTACAATATAAATATTCTTGAGCCAAATTTCTGAGGGTGATGAACAGGAAAACAGACAGGAACAGGGTGGTGTAAGATCTAAGCTGGTGATGAACGTGAAATTAACAGTGTTATAACAGAAACCATCACAGAAACAATCTCTTGGTCATATTTTTTTTTAAAGAACTATGGAAAGGTTAGGCTAGAAAGGGGCACCAGAGAACCTTTGGTGGGGGAGGGGGATGGAAATGTCATCTATCTTGAGGGGGTAGGGGTGATCAAAGAGATAGATACAATTGCCCAAATCCTTCCAACTGTATGCTTAAAACGAGTACGTTTTATCATATGTAAATTATGCTTCAATGAAATAGATTTAAAAAGTTAAAAAAAGGACTGACATACACAGATAATTTTTAAACCCTTACATACAGCCAACAGTTTAAATCTCCTCTTCCCATAGTTATTTATTCAGTTTTTTTGGTAGTCACGTTACAGAACAGTAAAATGAACTTGAGTGCCCCCTTCTCTCTCCCTTTGGACATCTGGATGGAGGTGCTGATGAGTAATAAAACGCTTAAAGTAGGCAGAGCCAAAGGAGGGAAAGGAGCAAGAAGTCAGAGTAACCCTCCAGCCCAGTGCCCTGTCTCCGAATGATCAGAAGTGGGCTATTATATCCTGACGGCCTCAGCTTTGCTTTTACTATCTGAAACCACGTTTTCACACCGGTTAGCTCTGAGACTCCAAAGTGGCCTCGAGCTTAATTTATAAACGCAATAAAACTGAAGATTTCCCCAAAGTTTCTGCTCCAACATGTCATGAAAGTCGGTTATGGAAAGCTTTAACAGATCCAAATGGACCAGAAACCACGGTGGGGTAGAAAAGGGGAAGGAAAAAAAAAAAACCTGAGCACAATGTAAGGCTTTAAACAGTTAAAAATTATAGCCTACATATCCACTCCCTTAGCTCTCAACGTCCAACTTTTTCATGGAGCTAGCCCCTACTAATACCAGGAATCAAAGGGCACGCAGCACCAGCGAGAGGCTATTACAGCCCACACTTTATTGCCCATTACTATTGAGGTCATTAGCGGCAAGAGTGATTGTACTGGTCTTAACCTATTGATCACTGTAACTACTATCATTTAATCCTGTGTTGAATGTCTGGAAAGTCGCTAAAGGCACACAAGAGAGAGTGCTTCAGCACTGAGAAATATGGCCAGAGCTTAGAAATTACACTTTGATTCATAAAATCCAGCCAGTGGTTTAAATCAATAGTATTTAAAACAGTCATGTGAGTTTTTAACTACGGCGCTCTAATATTTATGAGCCCCTCTTTCAGAGTATTCAGTGAAAACTAACCCCCTCCGCGCCCCACCCCACCGCCCCGATTCTATGCCATCCACCTTACCCTCCTTGAGACAAAAACATTAATTTCTGATGTTTTTGGGTGCTTCAGGGCTCAGGCCTTAACTGGGAGTTCAAGCTAATTCTTCATTCCTTTCTCAAATGACAATTTAAATACAATGCAAAAAAAATTATATCCCCAATACTGTAACTACCTTAACTGTTTGAGTAGAGAGAAACGAGTATGTTTTATGAGTTAACAATGAATCATAGAAGGCAATTTATGAAGAACTAGAATGATTCTGTCTAGCTGCCTTCAGGGATCAGAAATTCAAATTAAACTTCTGGCAGACATTTAAAGAATGCTAGCATACAAAACTGAATTTAAACACACACACACACACAGTTAACACTCTTTAGTTGAGTTTCAAGAGGAAATCATGAATTAAAAAAAAAAAAGTGCATGATACACTGTTGACTGATGGCACTGGGTGCGGCCTTCCCCAGGTGCACACAAACCTGGGAGCATGCAGCCCTGCAGCTGTGCCTGGACCATCAGAGCTCGGCCAGTACGGGCCTGCTGCTGCCGTCACACCAGCGACTGGGATGTCCTCAGTACCAACAAGTGCTGGGAAGAGCCTATCGACTGCTGTGTGAATCCGGCCTGATACAGCTTTCCTGCACTTCCAAATGACTTTATAGCATCTGAATGCTAGGAGAGTATTCAAGTGATATGCCTTATTTCTCTCCATTTCCAACAGGGAGAGGTGGGTGAAGGGAAGGAGGGAAAAAAAAATCTGAAGAGCAAACAAACAAATACAAACACCCATAGAAACAATACTTATTTCTAATCTAGGAGACAATTGGAGGAATTGGGTGGGAGGGGAGATGACACAATATAAATACTGAAAATAACACGTTATCATCTTTTTCTTTCTCTTTAGTTTATACTCATGTTAACTACGAGTCAATACTGCCCAGTGTAAATACACATAAATTTTGTGCATCTGAGCATCTTTCTCAGAGTTGCTGTGTGTACAAATAATACAAATGAGAAGATAAGAATTTTTTTAAATATTGCTTTAAACACTGTCTGGATTAATAATTTAGAAACTATTTTTAATCTCTGGTTATTCACCTTGTGTGGGTCCCAAGAGACTCAAGTTCCTTCTAGACTTAGGCTGGGTGCGGATGATAACTGACCAGGTTAGGCAGTTTACTTGGTTCATCAAATAAGAGCAAACAAATTAAATTAGAATGCTCCAGAACTTCAAAACAAGATCAAACAAAATGGCTCCACACACACACACAAAACAAACAAAAAACTGTGTCAAATGTGATATGATCATATAGAAGCTAGCCTGTGTAAAAGTCAATGAACACCAAACCGCGCACCCCCCCCATGAAAGGCAACAGTTTTCAAAATCAATAACCCAATGGATTCAACTGATACATTGGCAAACAAAAAAGTTAGGAAGCTTCTATCTATTTTCCATGGTATTTAGAAAGAAGAAGGGGGGAAAAACACACAAAAAACAAAAGCCACAGATACCATGCAAAGTAGCTGTATCACAGAGGAAAGAAAAA